GATGTATCCAAAATATTTATAAAAATTTCATTATGTTAATTATTTCAAAAGTTATAAAGGGCCCAAAAAGGTACCAAAATAACCTTTGTTACACATTTTTACCCCTTAAAAGTACGATTTTCAAAAAAGTGCCAGACACCCATCTGCTCATTTTAAGAGCAGATACAGGTGCATTTAAAATTTTTCTTGTATCACTAATATTGTGTAAGATAATTAAGAAAACCAGTTTTACCCGTTTTTTCCCCAAACCAAAAACACATCTACGGTCAAAATTTCATGATTCTAGGTTCAGCCGTTTGGGCTGTGCGATGATGAATCAGTCAGAAAGTAACGCTATTCTTTTATATATATATATATTACAAAATACCGAGTTAGAGAGTATAAAAGTTAGCCAACTCGAATGTGGAATATAAGTATTTCAATATACTTTCGCTAGATTCATTAAAATTGCACAAATTGAAAGCTAAAAGTTTATAGATTTTTTTCATAGCCAATATTTGTTAAATGATAGGTATTGGAGTTTTGGAATAGCTGACATTGTGTTTAAATTCAGAAAAAAAACCTTTTAACCAATTTTCATTATTTTAAAATGCAAAAATTGGCATTTATGTTTGAATTTGTTTAATAAAACATAAAAAACCGTGTCGGTCTCCCTAGTAGGTATATTTAAGTTTTTTATATATTGATCTCAGATTCAAGATTTAGTTATATCTGTCTGTACGTCCGTGCTATAACGCAATATAAAGTAAAGAAATTCAGTCAAGATATTCATCATTTCCCTAAGCCGTTTGGTATTGAAATGCAGTAAAATTTTGTATAAATAGAAAACTGTAAAAAGTTAAATCTTGAAATGAGTAATATTACTACACATTGAACTGTGTAATGCCAAAATGAGCAGAGCAACAGAAGTGGGCGTGGGCTTTCAAAATATTATGGAAATTATATCAGAAACTATGACAGATTAGCAATAGACACTGGACATAACCATTATAACATACAAATATACGGGCAATTTCGTGTCAACTTTTAAAATCGATGTCTTCCGATCCCACTAAGTGACCACAAGGCTCTTAAAGGAAATGATTTATGCTTTCTTTTGAGCATAAAAAACCAACAAAAACGTATATTTTAAAAAAATTGGGAAAATGAAGTGACATTTAAGGTCCTTAATATTGAAAAATTTCGTATTCTTGAGTTAATAGACATCCTACTCGCATTATGGAACTCTAAAGTCCTTAACTCTTTCACGTATACGCGATACCGGTGTCCCAAGATTTTTTAAACATTTTTCTTGATTTAGAGCGTAACTTTGAGTTCAGAGCGACAGTAAATGGTTATTTGACGACACTTCATGTTAAAAAGATAATTTTTCAACAAAATGATGAATATACGTCAAAATAAAGTGTGTGGTGAAGTCATATCCATAAAATGTCCAGCGGCTTAGTTTTGTGCATGAAAGGGTTAAAGGAAATTGTATAAGGTTTCTTCTGAGCCAAAAACGTCCCTTTTTGAAAAAAATATATATATTTTTTTGAAAACAGTGAAGAAAAATTTATCCGAACTCCTTTGGGTAATTTTTCCGGCAGTTCTTGACCGATAGGGCTGAAAATTTGTGTCTGGCGTACTATCCAATAGTACTAACCTTATGCAAATTTCATCCAAATCGATTTTTTTTAGTTAGATCACTTGACACGAAATTGCCCATATGTATTATTTATTATCAATGTATATATAATGCCACGTCCATTTAACAGATTTTGCTCATTTTTTGTATGACCTTTCACATTGATGCCGTCCATTTCAATACGGCTTTGGTAAAGCGAGTTATGACTTTTTTCTGGCTAGATTGAGCATTGTGCTTTTGTACAACTTTTTAACTCCCTTTTTGTAAGTGGGCTTGGTAAGTACTTGCCTCTAATGTAATCACCGTGTGAAAATAACAAGTTCAAATGATGATGAATAAGTAGTGAAAATTGGCTCTTTTAGCTTTTTAACTCATTACATTTGAGTTTTTGATGGGTATAAACAAGCTGACCCCTAACAACTAAAAATTTTAAACATTTAAATATGTAAAATATCAATACATTTGCTGTACAATTCTTAGAATATTTATATTTTAACACGTGTTATTTTCAAAAATACTAGGAAAACCCAGAAACATATGCATATATGTGTTTGTATTCCTTTACATATGTACGTATGTGAGTGTTTTTTTTAATCCGTTTTTATTGTAAGAACTTACAAACAGGACAATTCAATCCCTAGCTCTAGTTAGAAAATTTAACAACATACATATTTTAAGGATTCCATGCGAACGATTTTATAATTTTGTTGTTAGTTAGTTCTCTTTATTTTACTGTGGATTTTATTTTAACCAATACTAATACCAATTCCTGTATATTTTCCCATTTTTTATTTTGAATACCCTACACTACTACATATTTTTGAAAGGCGTTTGTAGAGATTAAAAAGTAACGAACCCATATCCATCTTAAAGAATAACAAACAGATCGGAATCATTTTTTTTGTTTGCCTTAATGTCTGACTGGTTAAATATTTTTTTTATTTATTGATTTTATATTATTCGTGATGTTGTATTAGTATAGAATAGTTTTGTTTATTTTGAAATTATATTAATTTCCTACAATCAAAGATAAATTTTGAATATACTCATAGCCGATGTAGGGATTCTTATGATTGAACATGTCGGTTAAAATATTTTTATTAGTTGTTTTAGTTTTGAGTTTTCAAAATACCAGTCAAAGATCAAGCACGCACATTGAATGTTAAATACGTGAGAATTTTAGAATAAATTACGAAAAATACAAATTTTAAGTAGAAAAAACTTATTTATTGTTATTTTTAGTTAAATATTTAAATAATATATAATTTTGTTTAGTTTACTGCATTACTTTCTATCATAAATAGCTATTCATATTTAATTATATTAAGTTATTATAATTGGGAAATACAAATATAGAAACAAAACCAAATTAAGGTAAATATAGATATGAGGAATTTCATGTCAAGTGACCCAACTCAAAAAATCGATTTTGACGAAATTTGCACTAAGGTAAGTACTATTGGATAATGTTCTGCCGGGCTTCATTTAATGACAGATCATATTTAAATATTATCTTTATTTAATTTTCTATTAATTAAATGCCATTTGTTTTTTTATATTTAATAATAAATCAAACAGGAAAACAACGCATTATAACTACAGAAATATAATTTGAAACAGATTTATGTATTTGTGCAGAAAAACAAAAACTAAATTTAAATAAACTATTTAGCCAATAAACACCAATGCAACAGTAAAACAAATCACAATTCGTGGAAAAACAAATTTGGATTAAATACGTAACCACCTTAAAATAAATCGAGTGTAAAATTATGTAGTCATATACATACTGTTGTACAGTATTAACTATATTCAATGTGTGAATTGAACAGATGTGAATAATAAAAAATTAAAAAAAATCGATTAAAAAACAAAACACCAAAAAGTTTAAAGTCAATAAAATTATAGCAAAAGAAAATTTTAAACAAATATTTTTATGACCAACAATATGTGTTTTTTATGATTTTTTAGATGTGAAATTTGTATTAAAATAAAAATAACATGAAAGTATAGATGGACATGTTCGATCATACGATACCCTAAATCAGTGTGACAAGTGTGATTTGCACTTTTAGGTTCGCATTAAAACATTTTTGTGTAGATTGATCCATAGTTGATCCTAGCCGATAAACGTATAATATAAATTGCTTAAATATCAGGTTTGGAAAATACAAGTATTTTATGAAATCGAAAAATACTGCAGTAACCCCAAGCCATATCAGGTAGTTTTTCTATTTCAAACTTTCATTAAAAAACCATACATAACTTTGTTGACTTGAATAGTATAGTACGAGGATTAGTTAGTTAGATTATACCATAGACAAGTTCATATAATAGTCAGTCGACTAGCCAATAGACTAGTCTAAAGATTTGTCAAGACTAGTCAATAGATTAGTCCAGAGACTAGACAATCAATTACTTCATAGGGTAGTCAATAAACTTGTCAATATATTAGTCTACAAACTAGACTTATCCATAGATTAGTCCATAGGCGAGTCAATCCATAGATTAGTCAGTAAAATACTTATCCCCTTATTCACTAACAACATTTTATTTTATACAAGATTTATAAAACAAAATTTCCATACAAAATCTAATTTATAAACTGTTTATAATATAAAAATTTTGTTTGTGAATAAGGGGGAAAGTCGAAAAATAATTTAATGCTTTTAGTAGTTCATAAGGTAGTCAAGAGATCAATGTATAGACTAGCATTAGTCCATAGAGTAGTCAATAAACTTGTCAATATACTAGTCCGAAGACTAGTACATAAAGTAATCAATAGTCTTGTCAATAGCATGGTCCATAGACTATTCAAAAGACTTATCCATATATTAGTACATAGGCGAGTCAATAAACTAGTCCATAGGTAAAAAAACTTACTCCTCATAAACTTTTCTATTCCATAGATGTCCGTCTGTCCACGTAAACTTTGTTATAAAACCCAATTTTAAAGATAATTCAGGGAAGAACCCTATTGGTTTAAACAGGTTCAATATTTTTCCTGGCCCCCATACAACCGAACCCACGAATGTTGCTCATAATGAAGACTTAATCGAAAGCTATTCTGGGCCGAACCTTTCTAAATGTTCAAATAAAATTAACTATTTTTGGAACAAGATTTGGATACTTTTTCCCCCTACTAAAATCAAAACTTAAACTTTCAATATTGATATTTTATAGATATGTCACTCTAATCCGATCCATAACCATAGCATAGTTTTGTTGGGAAACAATAAATCGTTTGGAATAATCAATCATCTTTCTATGTATAATTCGCAAACAAGTTGTATTTAAAAATTTAAAACTTAAACAAAATTAATTTCACATAATAAACATTTTCAACAAAAGTTTTAATTTTAATGCAAACACTTACGTTTCAAACAGGATACAAAATTTCATACAAATGGCCACAGATTTGTAGCATATGATGAATCTGCAAATAGAATGAAAAAAGAAAGGAAATTCAATTAAAATTTTGTTTTCTTTTTGAAGCAGGAAGTAGCAAAAGTGACAGCAAAATACAAATATAATAAATTAAATTAATAAATGAAGTATTTTCTAAATTGAATGTAAAAAATGTGATAAATTTTAAGAACAAAGAGTAGAAGTTTAGTGTGTTTTAAACATTTTTAGCAGAAGAAAACAAATGATTTTATGTTAATTTATTATGTGGCAGTACCGCCCATATTCTCAAAATTTTCTTAAATAAAGAATAATACTTTTTGACTGTTTACTAAAATGCTGGAAACATCATCATTATTATCGTCATCTTCAGCATCAGAGGCAGTAAAAGCAACAGCATCATCTGCGTTACTTAACCGCAGTTTATGCAAAATTTATACAAAAAAAATTTAAAAAAATAATACATTTCGAAAGTTTGAAAGTGATGATAAAAATAGCACAAGTAAAATATTTCAAGAAAACAAAAAAAAATAAATACTTTTATGTATACGAATACACGAGTTAGCGTATACACTTTCAAACTTGTGAAAAGTTTAAGAAAATTTTAAGAATTTTTTTTTAATGTTCCAAATAAGATTTAGTGACGCACAAAATTTTCACTTTATTATAAATACTCGTAGTCGTAAGTATAAACATAAATATGTTTTCTTTTTCATTTAAGTTTCTTTTTGCTTTTTCTTTGGTCTTTTATAAAAATAAAACAATTTACGAAAATTGGATCACACCGACTATATGATACCACTTACCCATATTAACTAATTTTCGAAAGTATGAGAAAAATTTTGAAAGTTTTTTTTTTGACTTATAATCTCATTTTAAGTGCATAAACCATAATTCCCAATTTAAAAAGTACAATAAATTTTGGTAACTATCTCCAAAGTACCAGTTACAGGACTAGTCCTATCTCACCTCGAAATTTATTTCTTCATTACCCCCAAAAAAAATTACGAAAGGTATCTACACTTGTTGTGTATCAGTTTATTAAACTTTGGGAATTTAAAAGCTTCTAGAAGCTCTTATTTCGTAAATTTTTGTATACATAGAGGAAATTAAATCTTTAACAAGATATTACAAACGTTGTTATAAAACCTACATACCAACACTACATTTTGTAGCAGTGGACCCCAAAAAAAAACGCATTAAATAATTGAAACATTTTCTTATTCATTTGTTCACACAAAACAAAAAAGAGCAACAGTGAACAAAATTGAAAAAAAAAATGATAAATATGTGCTGAAATATAATTTAGCAATGTAGTACCCTCGACATTAACTTATGACTCAGAAATGAAATATAAAATAAAGAAAAGCGGAAAATTCTTTTAATATATGTTCATTTGACGCAAATAAACCAGAAGTTACACAGACAGCAGCACTTAAATTTAATAAAACTCAAGTCAAATGAAAACCGCCGAGACATTTGATAGATGTTTTATAATCCCGAGGAAAAGGAATATGAAATGATTATGATGTTTCATTCAAATGTAGATGATTTAAATACTAATATGTATTTATATATCAAAATATTCTCACATACATACACATATACATATGCAGAAATGTCACTTGTGGGTAATTTTTTTAAAATACTATATATGTACATATATGTCAAAAAGCTGCCACAAATACTTAATTAGATACTTTGAGAAAATTTAACTATTTTCATATTTTTACTTATGAAATATAAGTACTGGTATGCCCATCACTGTTCAATGTAAATTATTTAATGGTTAAACCATCTTCATATTTTCTCTTAAACTGAAATGAAAGGAAAATAAAGTTAAAAGCATTTAACGTTTAATATAAAAATGTTTTAGTATTCATCATAAAGAGGAAATGATAATGAATGTATCATCTATATTACCTTAATTTCCTTTTGTCTTGTCTGCAGTGCAACAGGTATGAAAAAAATAACAACAACAATTCTTGTCATTATGTTTACAAGACATTAAAGTAATAATCACAATAGCATAACAACAGCTATAAATGAGCAACACAAATTGCTCGAAAATAAATTTTGGGGATTATAACATCCCTAAGCTGTTATGTTAAAAATAAGTAAAGAATCGAAAATCGTAAAGCATGTCCGACTGTGCAACTTTTTATGTATTATTTAACAAAAAGTATTAATATAGAAACATTAATATTTAACATACAATGTCCTGATTGAATGATTATCTGTAAGAGCAAACAAGTTCCTGACTGAATGTTAACACAGGCCCAGATATCAAAGTATACTTATCTAAAGAATTGAGAAGTGTTGAATCCGCATCTAGCCAATGAAAATGTATACATAACATCAGGCTCAATCTTTTGTAAAAGTATACTTTATATTAGGGTTCTATAGTTGAAACGAAAAGTCGACTTTTCGACTTTTTTCATTTAGTTAAAAGTCGACTTTTCGACTCTTTGCATTTTATGAAAAGTCGATTTTTCGACTTTTTTTATTTAATTAAAAGTCGACTTTTCGGCTATAAGTATTTTATAAATAGTCGACTTTTTTCGGCTTTTTGACTTTTTTTGGGTTTTCCGACTATTTTAGAGTTTTTGACTTTTTTTCCACTTTTTTAAAATTTTTGACTTTTTTCTACAATTTTCGAGTTTTCGACTTTTTTCGACTTTTTCCGACTTTTCGACTATTTTCGACTTTTTACGACTTATCGACTTTTTTCGACTTTCTTCGACTTTTTTCGACTTTATTCGACTTTTTTCGACTTATCAACTTTTTTCGACTTTTCGACTTTCAGACTTTTATTAACAAAGTCGACTTTTTTTCACAGACGATAGTCGAGTTATCGACTTTTTTGGAACAAAATAGTCGACTTCGACTTTTTGACTTTTTTCGACAAAAAGTCGATTGTTCGATTATTCGAAAGTCGATTTATAGAACCCTACTTTATATACTGGAACATTTTAGAAAAATTAGTCTTTTTCAAGGAAACAATTTGCTATTTAAAGAAATTTTTCCCACAAACTATGAACTCTAAATGAAATCAAGTAAATTTGTATCTCTTAAACAAATGTATAAAAAAAAATAACTTAAATGTAATAACAAGATTAAAAGTAATAAATGTATCTACTATGTATGTATGTTTTAAAGGACTATTATCAGTGATAAACGGTCTGTACATCAGACACACACACACTCGTTCTTAATACATAGAAATTTTTATCAAAATTCACAAAAATCTTGTCTAGATGATGTTAACAAAAGAATTTCAACACAAACGACAGAAATAAATAAATCTAGATTAAAAGAAATGAAATAAAATAAAATAAAATAAAATGTTTAACAACAGTAAAAAAAGAACAGAAAGATATTGTGTTGTGTTGTGTTGTGTTAAATGATACAAATAATAAAGAAATCAAATGAGAATAAAGCAACAAATGTAATAAATGATTTTTTCTACCAAAACAAATAGAAGTAAAAACATGTAAGAGTGCTATATTCGGCTGTGCCGAATCTTATATACCCACCCTCAAATCATATGTCTTAAATTTCAGGTGAATTTCGGAAAGTGGACCTATACAACCGATGTTTTTGCTACTACAATTTAATCATTTATCGGTTTTTTTCTAAACTGATTTTATTATCTATAAATAGTAATATAGTTAGGGCGATGGTAGCATTTATTTTATCATATTTAATAATTTTTTAATGTTTTGATTTCCTGTAAATTTACTTATGGCAAATTTTGGATCCTCCTAAAATTCTACAAAGATTTTGCATTCAATAAAACTTGTTTTGTCGAATATCAATGCTTTCTAAGCCTTATATGAAGGCTTTAATCCAATATGGCTCGATGGTCATAAAATTTGACAAAAATATTTTAGATCCCATAAAACTAGTTCATGACGAATTTTATTGCTATAGTGGTATTTTTAAGCCTGTTATGGCCGTTAATGTCATTCTATGATAGGGGGTAATGTCAATTATGACCGTTAAAGCCATTTTATGAGGGGGACCTTATATGGTTGGTAGGGTCAATTATGAGCCGATATCCATAAAATTTGACACAGAGATATTTGTTCTCCGAAAACTTGTTTACGTCGAATTTCGTTGCTTTACTATAATATTGTAGCAAATTATGAGCGTTATAGTCAATTTATGAGCGGACCTTATATGGGGAGTAGGGTCACTTATGAACCGTTCCTCATAAAATTTGGCAGAGAGATTTTAGTTCCTCTAAAACTTGTTTATGTTGACTTTCGTGATTTACTGATATTTTTATGAAAGTTGTGAGCTTTAAAGTAATTTTCCGAGGGGAACCTTATATGGGGGATAGGGTCAATTATGGGCCGATCTCCATAAAATTTGGCAGAGAGATTTTAGTTCCTCTAAAACTTATTTATGTCAAATTTCGTTGCATTGGTATCATTTTGAAGCAAGTTAAGAGCGTTATAGCCGTTTTCTGAGAGGGACCTTGTATGGGGGGTAGGGTCAATTAAGGACCGATTCTCATAAAATTTGGTACTGAGATTTTGGTTCATACAAAACTTGTTTATGTGGAATTTAATTGACATACTGATGTTTTAAAGCCATCTATGATTGTTTACACCGTTTTTCGGGGGGCCACTTGTATGGGGGCTATGCCAAAACATGTATACCAAACAAACCTTACCTATAGAGAATATTTTTAGAAAATTTCAACCCTCTAGATGTTTCCGTTCGGACTCTATCGTGTTTTCAACAGACAGACGGACGGACTAGGCTAGGTCGTCTTAGAATTTAATAAGGACCCAGAATATAAATACTTTTGTGGGTTTATGACCAATATTTCGATGTGTTACAAACGGAATGACAAAAACAATATACCCCCATCTTTTTTGATGGTGGGTATAAAAAACATGTTAAGAATATTAAAAAAATTTAAAATAATGATCAAAATGTTTTATTTTAAGGAATATAAGTAGATGGATATCAATCATTGCCCTTTAATAGAGGCAAAATCGTACATTAAAAAGTAAAGAG